TGAAATGTATCCAGTGTAGTGGATTAAAATTAAGAAGAAGAATCTTCTTCATAGGAGTAGACAGGTTCAGCACACCAACAGATAACTAAGCGTATTCAAGCATACCCACAGCACTACAAATTCCCAGTAGGGAGACCTTATTTAATGTGGTGGGGACGGGGTCAATTCTACAATTGAAACATCTATTTCAGTTGTAAATCATAACAAAAGAAAGAAAAAGAAAAGGCCCAGAGGCAGCATGTGTGCAGACTTCTGCCATGTATTGTTAGGCTTTGGGACACTTGCTTGAGAACCCCAGACCTCTAGACTTCTCCCCAGGAAAGGGAAACTTTCACTGGGTAGCAAGGAAGTATTTGTGCAAGAAGTCAAACCAGGGAGATGGGAAGATGCCTGGGAATCTGGGTCACAGGTTATGAATCAGGGACTCCTGTTTTGCAAGACTAAATGCTCAAGCAGTTGAACATTGCACCCAGGCTCCCTGTAGTTGCTGTCAGAAGGGAGTTATAGACTGGCAGTGGCCAAGCCAGAAGCAGGTGAGCAAACATCCCCACTTGTCCCCTATCCTGAAAGGATCAGGCGCTGCTATTTGCTTATCCTCACTGCTCTTGTTAGTCTGGGTGGGCTTGAGAACCTGATTAGCATGAGAGGTGTAGACTTTAGTTGATTTGCCAAGAGAATGGAAAGGGCCTGAGTGTGCATGTCTGGGGGTTTAATTTGTAAGAAAGTGATCTACCTAGGTATAAGACTTTGGTTTTTGCAGTTTTGAGATTGTTCTTACCTGAGTTCTTTCTACATTTTTGTTAGAGCATTGTGCAGCATTTCACTGTGAACACAATCATGGCTATTCAGTTGCTAGTACTAAGCAAACCATAGGCTCTTTTCATTCAGATTTTACTGAAGAGCAGCCAGTTTCTCCTATATGCTAACACTGGATTTCTGCCTGGTCAAGGAAGAAACCTGGCATCAGCTTTCACAGCACCTACTTTATAACATTCACATGCATATACAGCAGCAGGATGGCTTAGTACCAAGAAATAAATCCCTGGAGCTATATTTATCCCCTCCACGACTAGTTTAACAGAGCTGGTATCTTATTTCCCAACACATTGTGTTAGGCCCTGCTGCATATTTATGCAACCCCACCTGCCAATATACTCCAGTTTTTTAAAGAAGCTTGGAAAGTGTTTGTTAAATGCACTAAGTTGAAACTGTCCATTAGTAGTTTCACTTGCGCTTGTGGGGCTCATGATAACTTCTCTAGAAGGAGAAATAAAGCTTCTTAATTTATTTATGTAGAGCGCATGCTCTCTTATCCTTCTCCGCTAGGAAAATTAATCTAACAATATGAACAATCAATGTTATTAATAGTACATTAATGTTTGAAGTGGAGAGAAAGTCAGGTCAGCACAGGAGTTGGCCTGAGGCCATTCCTTTCTAAGGGCCTCTGAATGTGACAGAAAGCAGGTTTAGTGGGAACAGATCTCAGGTTATCTGGATTTGCCAAGTTTTCATGAAGGCTAGGTCCAGCTGAGCCTTAAGAAACCATGGTTGTTTTGTTTCCAACAGAAGGATCAGAATCCTTCTGCAGGTGTCTTGCTGTGTTCACCTGCACAGTACATAGATTGGGGAAGACTCTGAGCACCCAAAAACACATTTAGGTATCATGGGCTTAAAAACTAGATTCTGACTCTTAGTTTTTTGTTTGGCTTAAGGGGTACCTACAGGGGAAGGAAAGAGAAGAGACAAGTTAAATGGCAGAACTGATGTGCACTTGTGGCCACTTTTCTTGAGGTTTGTTATCCCTTATTCTGATCACATGCCTGGAGTTCTAAAATCAAGTCACACTTGGGGGATGAAAAAAACCCACTTGAGCTAAAGGAGAATCCCCATTAGTAGGCCTGTGCGAATAGGGAACTATCTGATTCAGATTCCGCCAATTCGGATGCCAGAGCTTCAATTCGGCCAAATCGCTTCGGAAGATTCGGAGCCGATTCAGAGATTCAGCCATAGAGTATAATGGGGAATCAATGAAATATCTATAACTTTGTTGTTTTTTGACTGAGTCGGATGAAACTTGCAGAAATGTTAGCCTCTCCTGAGAGCATGAAGCCTGCCAAGTTTCAAGGTGATAAGTGCAGGGGTTTCTGGGAAACAGCACCTCAAAGTCCTGAAAGCAAAACTCATGTCATGTGTGTGTGTTAAGCCACAGTGGGGTGAAAACTTCAGGGGTGGTAGGTCTTGCCAAGGCCACAAAGCATGCCAAGTTTCAAGGAGATAGGTGCAGGCATTTCTGGTTGAATTCATTATGCCCTATGACTGAATCTCCGAATCTTTTCCAAATCGATCCGGAAGCTCCAAATTGATTTGGAAAGCCTAAAGCTTCTAGTGATTCGATTCAGATTAATAGATTCAGCTTCCAAATCGTGATCCAAAGCTTTGGATAGCCCTACCCATTAGGTATTAACAGTAAAATGCCATTTATCACAGTTTTGTAGTTCAAATTGTATCCACCAGAGGGTAGTGAGCCCTGATAACGACACCATTTGTGCTCCTCTGTACTGAAATTATTCTCCGTGTATCTACTCTTAGTTGGAGTTGGCAGCCGACCTTATCCAATTATGGAGTATTTTGTTTAGATTTTTGATTAAATGTTGACGTTCTCTGCCTTGTTAAATTGTTAGAAATACATGAGAGATTCTAAAAGGGTGGGGACAGGTGTAACATTTGAAGCACTTAAAATGAAGTGCTTCAGAAATGGACCACTTTTGCTGTAAACAGATGTACAGCCCCCTGCCATGCCCCTTGCCTGGACTTCAAAATTGCCATGCTTGCATGCTGTGGTGTGCTCTCCACCAAGGGGGTCTCCTGGTTCAGGGTGAAGGAGGCGCTCCAGGAGAGCAGACCCAGTGCACACAGGAGAGCATTTATTGACAGTCTGCCTTGCTTTTTCTCTTTCTCATGGGGAGAGCAAAGCACTGTTGGCATGCTGGTGGATCCATACAGCATACAGATGTAACAGGAAGCACTTGAACATAAAACACTTCCAAGCAGTTCCTGTTTTCTGGTGGGTTATTTTTGGAGCATTTTTGCCATTTTCAGGATGCATTAGAGGGCACATAGGTCTTTCTGCTTGCCCCTTCACATGTATTATGGCTGTCCAAACCCTGATAAGAATCATAGAAAAATAGGACAGGAAAACACCTCAGGAAGTCATCAAGTCCACTGCCCTGCTCAAGACAGGATCGTCCCTGTCTAAACCTTTGCATCAGATGTTCATCTCAAACACTTCCACTGAGACAGATTTTAGCACTTCCCAAAGTAATCACTTCCAGGGCTTAACTGCCCAAATAATTAGGAAGTTCCTCCCAACATCTAACCTAAATAGATCGTGTTGCAATTTAAAGCCTTTACTTTTTGTCCTGTCCCCAGGCTCATGGCCTATAAGCCAAGACCAAGACAAGTAACTGCAGCTAGAGATAAAAAGTCTTCAAGGAAGGGATCTGATACAATGTCCTGTTCTACAGCTCTCCATCCTTAAACCTTATTATTCATATTCAAAGATTCTTTGAATTCTTCAATAAATGTGCTCACTTTGATGCGTAAAGCATCATTAGGACTCTCTGGATTGCAGGTCATATTGCCCTATGGCAGTGCCTCTCAAACTATCTGATGTGGCAGACTGGCAATTTTTTTTTCAGTGGGCCAGGGACCAGTGCCCAGTTTAGTCGGTGGCAGCAACTGCGTGTAACAGCGCTACACAAATGCGCGACTGGCATCATTTCCTCACCTCGCACGACATGACATCACCTGGAGTGTTGGAACGTATGAACTGTGGTGCTATGACATATCAATGTTATGCTTCTGAAAATATATTTCTTTCTTTCCTGGCAACTCGCTGCAGACCAGCGAATATATTTCTTTCCTGGCAACTTGCTGCGGACCGGTGACCGGTGGCTCGCGGACCGGCAGCGGTCCACGGACCACCACTTTGAGAAGCACTGCCCTATGGGATATGGAGAGTTAGGGCTAGCCACAAACTCAGCTCAAACAATGAGTCTGGCTCTGGCAATACATATCTGGAGGGAGGCTGAACCTTGTCCTGATTACAATTACTTCATGGTAAATAAGGTAAAGCAATATTGCAACACCCTCCTGTCCTCAGGGAGTAGGTTGTTGCAGAGAGGGGAGGATTAGACTCATGAAAATGACTTCCTGGAATGAAAGGGTGGGGGAAAGCCCCTGATTCCTAGTTCCTTGGCTAGCTTGTTGCTCAACGCCAAAGTAAGGCAGGTGAAAGGAAGGGCCCTATTGATAGGGAAAAGTAGGGAGACAATGAAGAGGTCACCTACAGGTACCCGGATGGCATTAACACAGAGGTACTGAAAAGGTACTGGTTTTTTTCAGACAGAGGTTAATTAAAAAGTAATGGATGAAGGAGAAAAACCTTACTCAGATCTATGTGGCCACAGATTCATTTTCTGAGGGAAATGATTGCATCTTCAATACTGAAATTTGTTCATACTGAGATTAGACAAAGCACTCCAAAATAATATATCAGCTAGACAAGGGACAAGGAGTCAGGTCCTGCAAGGCACTGAACAGTTCACATACTCCAAATAGAGGGCACTCAACATATTGCAGGGTAAAGGCCTGAATATTTAAGTAGATCCTTGCTCATAAATACTCTGGGAACTTGCTGCAGGGAAAAAACAAGTCTCAGAACAGACTTATTTTAAGAGGATTAAAGGTGTGTCAGTGCAAGGATTTTCTGACACTCTTCTCCAATTATAATTTATAGCTGTTTATAGCAATACAATTATTATAAGGTTCCTCTAAGTCTGTAATGATTACAAGGCTCCCATGGAGAAACAAGAGTAGCTTAGAATATGCTGCACTAATGAGGTTTGAAGCAAATAAAATCTGATACTTATCTGTGCTCTTTACTCTGCCACTGACTGACAATTTTATGGTGATTGATGATTTCTGGCATTTTTTTCCAGTCCTTTTAGCTGAATACTCTGAGCAGAACTGCACTGAAGTTTTTAGGAGCCCCAAGAGAACCATTCTCCTATGTCACATCCACACAGTTCATCAGACCAAGGTACTGGGAAACACCCCCTTATATTATTATTTTCTTTGATTGTAAATGTTTTCTTGGTATTGCATTAAAATATTTGCATTGTGTCATCATCAGCATGACTGGTCCTTATCCAGTAGCATTTTAATGTGCTTAATATTAACCATGTGAAAAACTGCATTCGTTTCAAAGGATATGAAGTACAGTAGATGCTTACATGCTCTGCTGCTACCGCATGTTCTCAGAATCAAGCAGTAATAACAATTCCTCCAGTAACCACTAGCCTTGTATATATTTTCTCTCTCTCTGTTTCTTAAAAAAATCTATTGAAAAAAAAAAACAGACCTCCCGCCACAGTAACCCTTGTAAACACCTGCACTAATGAAGCTGTTGCTCCACCTATGATTATTATAAAAGGATTAGACTTATAAGTGTTATTCCTCCTCGGGAGTTTTCTAGCACTTTGAGAGACCATACCCTGAGTGCCAAATAAGCTATTCCTGATTTACTTGTATGTTGGATTAAAAGGAGAAGACATCTTTTCTTCCAAGTAGTGAATTTGTTGTCACTGTCAACTAAAGTTGTGAAGATAAGTTTCCATTTGACAAGTTTACTTGACTGTAAAATTGAAGTGCCTTAATTATATTTTTGCCTCAGGTGTGCTTATATTTGCTCAGTTACATGCAGCTTTTTCACAGTGAAGACAAGCCCTGAGAGAGTACTGAAAGCTTTTTCAGGGCATATGCCTTAGGACTACTCTGTATAGCAGTTAAGTCAAATTCACTTAAGTGTGAAGTTAATGTGCATAAATAAAAAGCTTAATAAGTCCCTATGGGCATGCTCATTCAGAAGGAGTGGCCTATTTTGTAACTATATAAAATAAAGCCTCTCGGCTTCTGAATGAAAGCATCCAGCCGTAAGTTTAATGCACTTTTGACTTGTGCGTATTCACTTTCTGCAGTTAGGTAATTGGTCTTAATGGGCATTCATACACATACCTTTTTGTCCCGCAACATGCCGGAGATCTGCCACTGTGGAGTAGACTCAATTAATGAAGTCTGTGCTGTATGCAAGCTGACGTGCACTGAGCTGTGCTGCGTGCAGTTGTATAAGTGGTGAAATGCACATCAACGCGCAGAAAATGGCAGCGATGTGCTTTTGAACTAAAGCACCTCCAAGGTGTTTTAGTTTAAAAGTGCACCACTGCCATTTTCTTCATGATGATGTGCATTTTAGCACTTATACAACTACAAGCATCACAGCACTGGGCACTTTTCAAAGTGCCTGGTGCTGTAGCACTTGCACATGGAAAAAAGCTCAATGTTCCAAAGTGTCCCTGCATAGACAAGATCCTAGGGCAAAAGCTATTCCAATTAAGCAAAGCTGTAACAAGTGGCCCATCACTTGGAGTGAAATGGAAATCATTGCAGGTTCACCTAATCCAGTCATTGCCTTGCAGGCAGAATCACATGCTTTTTGACCAGCCTGGCCAGAAATTTGTCAGTACATAGGTATCATTCTTTCCCATTTAGCAACCCCCATTTAGGCCAACTGAACAGCTTCTGTTCTATGTGACAGCAGCTGTGAGTGAGTAGGCACCTTCTCTACTTCAGTTCAGAACAGTATGTTGTCATCTTGTCTTTAAATCGGACTACAGTTGTGCCAAAACCCTGCCTCAAATGAAATGATCTTCAGTGGCTCTGCCTCTGGACTCTTTATCATCAGTTTGCTTTCTGTAAATTTGGCAGTGCAAACTTCATACTCCTTTCCCAGACAAACCTCATTTAGTATATGGATTTCTCTGTTTTGCTACCAGCTATACATAGGAGGAGTTTTGGGTTACCTAGACATGTAGGTATCATACAAGTGATCCATCTGGACTAGGGACAGACATTCAAAAAGCCAGAGCCTGAATTGATTCATAGATGTTGGGTCGAAAGGGACCTTGTAGATCTTCTAGTCTGACCCCCTGCTCTGGGCAGGAGAGACGATTGGGCTCAAATGACTCCAGTCAGGTAAACGGTGAGCCTCCTCTTAAAGACCTCCAAGGTAGGAGCCATCACCACTTCCCTTGGAAGTTGGTTCCAGATCTTAGCCACTCTGACTGTGAAGTAGTGCCTTCTAATGTCTAGTCTAAACCTACTCTCTAGCAACTTATGGCCGTTATTCCTTGTTACTCCGGGAGGCGCTCGGGAGAACAAGGTCTCTGCCAAACCCTGCTAGTCCCCACTAGTAAGTTTATAGACGGCCACCAGGTCCCCCCTCAGCCTTCTCTTGTGAAGGCTGAACAGGTTAAGGTCCCGTAGCCTCTCCTCATAGGGTCTACCCTGCTGTCCCTGGATCATGCGAGTGGCCCTTCTTTGGACCCTCGCAATGCTGTCCACATCCTTCCTGAAGTGCGGTGCCCAGAAACGGATGCAGTACTCCAGCTGCGGCCTGACCAGTGTCGCATAAAGGGGGAGGATCACCTCCTTGACCCTGCTTGTGATGCATCTGTGGATGCAGGACAAGGTACGGTTAGCCCTACTGAC